GGCCTTTTAATAAGGTGTCATGCAAGGGTTGAACCATATGTTGTTATAGGTTAATCAATTTTATGAATGCTGGAATAAGTATTTCTTATTTTTAATACCAGATGTTTATATTTGAGTATATAAGATATTTACATAGTATAGATGATGACTTGGGGGGTGGGTACAGTCTATTTTAGGGAAGTGGGGGCTCACTCCTCAACAGACAGTGCATTCTATTTATATTTTAGTCTTTAAGATATTTACTTAGTATAGATGATGACTTTTGGGGGTGAGGGTTACAGTCTGTTTTAAGTTGGGTGGTGGCCTGCTCCCCTACTGATGGTGCAGTCTATTTTCAGAGGAGGGGTCTTACTCCTCTGTAGACAGTGCAGTCAGTCTGTTTTAGGTCAGATTTATTCAAATGTCCATTCAAACAATGTGGCACAAGGCTGAATTTAAAGTGGTACCCACACATTTACTTGTGGTTAGATATCACAAATAGTCCTTTCAGCACTTGTTTTTAATTATTTCATCCCAAGCAAGGCAATAAAGCCACTAAGATGCAAGAGGTTACTGAGCATAAAAGAATGTAAGAAAAAGAAAACTGCTATTAAGGAGAAAGGACAATAAAAGAACAGGAATTAAGATAACATTAAGAAGATAGGCATTGATCATCAAAAATTTAAATGCAAAGTTGACTCGGAAGCTGGAAGAGAGTTCCGCAAGCGAGAAGTGTGAGAGAAGAAACTTAGCATGAAATTTATGGCTACATCTAGCCATTTCAACTAAAATGAGACCTTGCTGGCAATCTAGTACTGTGCTTAAATTTATAAACTCCCCTTTTGGCAATATGTCAAGTGCCTGCTAATGATCTTAGGCCTGTCCTTAAGCATTAACTTAATTATTTAAATTTTACATCATCATCATCTTGAGGCCTCAGCCGAGATTGAACTCACCAATTGGTGTAGTTCATAATCTTGTCAAATAGCTGAACTCTTGATGCTTCGCTAGGGCTATCAAGGGTGTTTTTTATCGTGACACCAACACTAAATGGATTGCCAACCAAGGCTCAGAGAGACTCCATTCACCCTCCTCTAAGAGTAGGTTTGAATTCAGAGTTTTCCTTCTCCTAGACCAGTTGCCATCCAAGGCTATAGAACCCAGTCTGTCCTGCTATTTACCCATAGCTGGAGGGAGAAGAAAGAGGATTCACACCTTTCCCAATTTTACACCTGAGCACCAAAAAGCAGACAACAATAATGGGCAAGCAGTATGGCAATTGAAGTCCTTTATTCTTGTAAGGCCATCCATCTTGGTGGTGGACGAGTATATAGAATCTTTAAAAAAAAAATTCACAACTGCTACAAACAATCAATGGCTTTCTACAGGTCATTCAAGGAATGGAGGCCTAATGTCATGTGACATGGGAGCATGAGATTTTTTTTTTTTTTGTTTGAAGAGTTCAAGTTTCAGAATTTTGGTTTTCACTCAGAAAATAAGTTATAAATAGAATTTGAATTTCTATACAATGGACCCTCAACAACAACAATAAAAAATCTTTTGGAAATACAAAAATAGAGACGTGGCAAATCGTGTTCTTTGCGAAATGATAATAGAAAGTTAAAAAACTTTTCTCTTAACTAGCACGAAACATAAAAACTAAATTCTTAATAATTCATAGAAACTGAATTACCTGAAGAGGAATGAAGTAACTTATTCTTTTTTTTTTAATGGGTCTTGGATACAGAAAAAGTCTCTTTCACAGAATATTTTAAATTTTTTTTTGTTTTTTTCACACATTTCCTTGAATTTCCAAGCTGAAAAAGCATTACGCAACATATTTGATAGCAAGGTAAGCTCTCAGAAGTTCATAGCAGTACGTGTCAGGACACGACTTAAAATAGACCACAACACTTGGCAGAATTAAGAAATATTGATTTGTTATCATTTTAGAAATGGGGGTCCTGTTCATAGTACTGATACAGTATCAAATCAATCCCTGACTTTTATTAAATAGACTAATCCACTCATAAAAAATAGGGAAATATCTTTTGGAAATATTTTTTGTAGATTAGCATTCTTTTGACCTTCCTTAGACCTTAACACTTGGCAAAATTAAGAAATGTTATAATTTTAGAAGTGGGGGTCCTGTTAATAATATTGGTACAGTACAAAATTGATCCCTGACTTTTATTGAATAGAATAATCTGGTCATAAAAAATAGGGAAATTTATGGGGAAATAATTTTTGTAGATTTGCATTCTTTCAATCTTCCCTAGACCACAACACTTGGCAGAATTAAGAAATATTGCTTTGTTATATTAATTATAAAATGGGTCCCTGACTTTTACAGAATTATTGGACTTACCTGTTACTTACAAATATCAAGTTTGAAAGTGTATTAACGTCATTGACATCATTAATTTTTTTTAAATCTTTTTAAGCCCTTCTGAACATTTAAAAAAAGAAAATTCAAAGATAAAAAAAAATGGCTATGAATAAATTGCTGTGGGATTTTTTTTCAGAAGCACAAACATTAGAAGTTCATACTTATCTATCTTATTCATTAATTAATTAATTTTCTTAACCCATTGTAGGTTATTTCAAGGCAGAAAATATTTTTTGATTGTAAGAATTTCTTTTTGGAGATAATGGCTTTCTGATACAAGTCTTACTAGCTGGGGGTGTGGAGAAGTGGATTCCTACTGAATCAGAATTTGATAATTTATGGAGTGTATATGAAGTGGGGGGTCAGTTCTAGATTACAATCAATATATAAACTGATCCCTCACTTCGTGTCCACGTTAGTTTCTATACATTTATATTCCAGAGAATGTAAATAAATCTAAAAGACTTGCCCATGTAGCTAATCAGTATTTCACTGACTGATTGATTTATTCATTCATTTTCTACAGCTTATCAACCCTTTGTTGGTTATTTTAAGCCAGAAAACATTTTAGATTGTAACAATTTTGGGGGAGGAGATATAATTAATAATGTGTGTATAAAGTGGGGTATCAATTTTATATTACACTCAATATGTAAACTGATTCTTCACTTTGTGTCCATGTTAGTTTGTATACATTTATATTCCAGAGAATGTAAATAAATCTAAAAGACATGCATGTTGTGTAGCTAATCAGTATTTCATTGATTGATTCATTTGCTATGGTTTATCAACACGCAAGAAATTATAATGATATAAATGGGGGATCAATTCTATATTATAATCAATATATAAACTGATCCCTCACTTCTTGTCCACGGTAGTTTATATACATTTATATTCCAGAGAATGTAAAGACATGCCTGTATAGCTAATCAGGATTTCATTGGTTTTCTATGGTTTATCAACCTTTTGCAGGTTATTTAAAGCCAGAAAATATTTTTAGATTGTATGAATTTTTTTTAAGAGATAATGATTTAATGATATAAGTCTTACTAATTAACCCATAGCTGGGGGAGAAGAGGCAGATTCATACCTAATCAGCGTTTGATAAACATGAAATTATAATGTGGATATAAAGTGGGGGATCAATTCTACATTACAACAATATATAAACTGATACCTCATTTTGTGTCCATGTTAATTTCTATACATTTATATTCCAGGGAGTGTAAATAAATCTAAATGACATGCCTGTATAACTAATCTGTATTTCATCAATCCATTTTCTACAGCTTATCAACCCTTTGTTGGTTATTTAAATCCAGAAAATATTTTTAGATTGTAAAACCTTTTTTGAGATAATGATTTAGTGATGCAAGTCTTACTAATTAATTCATAAAGGGGTGGGGAGAAGTGTATTCATAAATTTCCACAAGGGTATTTGCATGTAAATTAATATAACAAACCCAACTGGAATTGGAACCTGGTGTTCTGATTAATGATTCTGAACCATAAGCCATTACACCACCTGCACACCCAAGTCTACAGTACCTAGTATTTCTACTACCCTATCTAGGTCCTGACCAGGACCAACATTGCTTAACTTCGAGCATCAGACAAGAACTGTTGTTTCAATCCTATAATGGTCATCAGCAATTATTTATTTTAAATAAACAGATCCATATTTTAATATATATAAATTTTTGGTTGGTAGTATTATGCATCTGTTTTCATGTAATTTATTATTATAGATTATGTTATTTTTGTTTTGGTTGTATATTTTGTATGCCTTTCTTCTTGCATTGTGGATGAAATGATATGGGTATTGTAAGTTTTTGAATGTGTTTTCTGTGTATGTTTCTTCTTTAGGCAAATATTGGGGGCTGCAGATTCTTAATGCTCTCAAACAGAAACCTATAATAATTCCAGATTTATTTTTAGAAGAATGGT